CCCTGGGTAATGCTCTGCTTGTATGAATGACTAAGGCTTTATACCCCAGGGAAGGCACCTCAGAGGATTTTACTAAGGTTTCCCTTTATTTACATTGCACTCCTGAACATGTAACAAGTTCATGGTTTGTTTCAACTTGCATTTCGATGTTGTCTAGTTATGACTTCATCTTTTATGTTCCATTTTGAACGCCACGTGACTCGTAAGATGAAATATTGAATGCCAGATAACAGACCTCACATGCATAGGTGTGTAGGGTGTAGCTAACCTGGTTTTTTACTGTAACACTCTTTTCTCGGCATTTTTTGTTTGTGTGAGAAAATGAAGACCTTTCTGGGAACCTTTAAAGAGGGGCTTCAGTTTGTCCAAAACTTCCCTGTTATGTCACATGTTGCAGGGCTGACCAGTGTTATGATAGAGGCTTTGTTGAGGAAGGAGGTGGACAGCGTGATTGTTTTTTAGGAGTCAACCCAATGATAAGATCTACTTGCATTGTCAGAGCTTGGGGGGATATTTCCTTTGATTGAAATACTGTATATAAAACAGACTTATCTATTGTCCTCCTAGAGTGTTGGTGTCATTTAGGCCACATAGAAATTGGTTTACCTCATTTCCTCTCTCATTGTTTTCAACTATAAGAGGACTGCCTTTTCCAAAACTTTTTTTAAGGGATCTGGTCTCAATAGGAAGATGTGTATGTGTGTTCTGGAGTTAATCCAATCCCATTTGCCATCGTCGAGAGGTGGTAATCTTGTAGACCCAGTGGGATAGTATGCAAGTTCCCGAATCTAGGATTACATATGGAATGGAACTTCAGGATCAAATCTCTATTTTTAGAAGTATGTTGGTACACTGGCTCATATCTTAGAAGTTATTACTGTATATTTTGAATTAGGAGAATATGAAAGCTTTACTAACTGTATTTAGATTTATTTAATTATTAGTTTTTAAGACTGCTGGAGAGAGTGAGTACAATAGGAACATTTGCTTCTTGTTATGTTGGATCCTTAATGCTTATCATCTTGTACTGACTTTGATTATTTAAATGATTCTCTTCATCAGTACCGGTACTAATCGCTCTTCGGGTAACTCCTAACTTTTCCGTAATCTGTTTCTTCTCATTAGTTTATTTACCAGTAACTTCAAGGCTTTAGACATCTTTTACCCCTTGAGTGGTATTGACCAGTTCTTCTTCCACCTACACCTGTACTTGTTGGCTCTGCTTGAACTATTTCCTACTCTTGCTGTCTGCTGTTGGTCTCACCCAGGGGGTTCAGCGCGTAAGTCAGGCTCACTTGAGGATCTTATTGCACACGGCATGGTTAAGTTTAGTTGTGATAATATGGCGACCCGATGTTTGTCTTTATTTCTATGTCACTGTTGTATATTTGGTGTGTTTATTGGTAAGTACAGTCCGTGGTTTGTTATGGGTACAGTTCTGACAAAATCTATTGTTATGTCTGCCTTTTTTATTGTTTATTACTAGTTTGGGGTAAAGGGAAGAACCTGCATCTTGGTATGTGAGAATCTGTATACATGCATGTACATTTTAGTCAAACATCAAGCTTCGTGTGAGATACATGTTACAGGTACAGTCCTACAAAATGAAAGCATATTAAACAATGATATTCAGGGTATACAGAAATTAGTGTATAGGATCACTTCTTATTGCACAAAAATTAGTTACACATTAGTGATTCTTTTAATACTGAACACGTGGAAAAGAGGTCCTGTGAAGTGAATGTCCTGTTAAATTATCTATACTGTGCTTAATATTTTTCACGCCATGATTTAAACATTTCCAGTTCATTAATATAAAAGGTGTGGAATAATAATGATAATCATATTAGCCAAAGTTAAAAAAAATTCTCTCATACATACAGGACCTTATACTATACTCCTGCAGGTGAAGAGAGTGCCTTTGGGTCATTACTGTACATTGATTATTGCTCAGTTGTTGTGGAATTATACAACCCAATATATATAAAGATATTTAAACATTAATCTGTACACTACTTATTAGTTTTTGGTCATCATAAACGTAGTGTACTGCTAGACATTAAATTAATATTTCAGTAAAATTTTTTATCAGAAATGTCCCCAGGGAATGTAACCCCTACTTATATTCAATACACTGTACATTGCTTCACTTAATGTCACACATTTCATTAATGCATGTCCAACATACAGCGACGTATACCTGTATGTATACTATTGTATTAGATGGTCAGCAGGAGCATGAATACTTTAGTTTGGTACAATGAGGCAGGTCAGAGCTTGTAGGTGTCTTTTCCCAAAAATTTCTGGGCTTGCATTCTTCCTCTTCTCCTCTTGGCCTTGAGAACTAAAAGGACAGTGTTAGCCATCTGTGAGTCCATCTGGCCACCGTCTGTCCACAGTACCTAACTATTTTTGTCTTGCAGATTCTTGTAGATGATGATAAATGACTTTGAAAACCACATATTTGTACAGGATCTCACTTGATGTCTTTGGAGTGGTTGGCGTGTCCCTTATTTACATATACAATTGATGAAATAATAAAATGTTACAGTACAGAATATATGATGCATGGGTTTGTTTATTCAGATCTTGTGGAAGTCATGTGTGTAGATTTTTATTTTTATTTATTTTTTTGGCCATTTCGAATGTCACTAGGACCTGTAATGTGCTGATGTAGTGTGAAATATGATAAAAAATAGTACACTATACTACAGTATGAAATCTTTATAAAATCTGATCAAAACTTATGTAATCTGATCAAAGGTATTATAAAATTTGATCAAAGGTACTGTATATTGAAATCTGATGGAAAAGTCTTATGAAATCTGATCAAAGACTCATTAAATCTGGCATGTGGAAGCTCAGGTTAAGTAAATATATTATGTCTCATAGTTAATAATAATCGTCTCGCTCCAGACTGATGACATCAAGGTTAAGAGTGATGAGCATCTCCCACCTAGACCCTGATATTCTCATAGGCGAAAATGACCTCACCTGGCTCTCTTACCTCCACGAGCCTGCTGTCCTCTACAACCTACAAGTGCGTTTCTGCAACACAATGCCATCTACGTACTGCGGTGAGGTTGTGGTGGTTTTGTTGTCTATAGGTTCGGGAAGGTTAGGTTAGATCAGGTTAGGTTGAGTTTAATGTGAAGTTGAATGACATTTTGCAGTTCTCAGCTGAATAACCTACTTTGACCTAACTTATAATTGCTATATTTTATTTGGTGTTTAGTAGAAATATCATTTTTTTCTTATGATGATCTTTAGGTAACGTAAATTTCAGTTCCAAAAGTGGCTCTGGTTCCAAGCATTTCAGGTTTGATGTACAACCTGTAGAAAATATGTTGTATGTTGCTGCCAAGAAGATCTGTTAGATGGCTGTACAGTAATGTATTCTCGTCTACAGGAATCGTTTCTTGTGGCTATCAATCCTATGAGGAACTCTATCTATGGCCGGACACTATCTCAGCTTATAAAGGCCACTCCATGGGTGACTTCATTCTCTATCTTTGCTGTTGCAGAAGAAGCGTTCACACAAATGGAGAGGTAACTTTATTATTATTATTATTAACCATTTATGTGATTATTGAGTTGCAAGTAAATTGTTTATACAGTATAGGTTTTTGTTCTTTGAGATGTATAACAATTAGGTGTCACGTGTTAAGCTACAGAATGGTGGTTACAGTGAAGATTGACTTGCATTATGTATACTGTATTATCATATTGCAGTACTGTATAATTATCAGGTATTCAACAGTTAAATAGATTACTGTATTGATTCTGATGCATGATTGGTTATTTTCTGTGTCTGTTTGTTCATGTATGTACGGAGTTATTTCACTGCCTAACTTAGATAAGCGATCGTAACCTAGCAACCTCTGATAGATTACCAGAATTTAACATAATCTAACCTAACCTAACATGAAATTAACCTAAAATTCATTTGAAATTATCACCTTTTGAAACTGGTAACTGTCCTCTTTTTCTCTCCAGGGAAAACAAAGGCCAAAGCATCATCGTGTCAGGAGAGTCCGGGCGCTGGCAAGACAGTGTCGCCATAAATGCGCTATGAGGTACTTTGGCGTGGCGGCTCAGACTCGGAGACACAGATCGAAAAAGATCTGTGATCAGATCCTATAATGAGGTGAGGTGACTGATGTTGTCCTGGTGGCGAGTCAGTCAGAGGAGTGTTGGGTTATGTTGAGTTATAAGGTGGTACTGTAGGTGAGTGTGAAGTGTGTCCTGGTGAGTAATGTGATGTGTGGCTGTATTGTAATCACTGTAATATAATCTTTAGTTTAGAAATTATGGTAACTCTCTGAATGCAATGGTATGTCAGTATGATAGTTTAAAATGCTTAGGATAATGGTTTAGTTGATTCTGGATGATAGTTTTAACCCTTTGAGGATGATAGTTAAAAGGATGACAGGAGGGTAGTTGAGAATCATATTTTAATAGATGGGGTATCATTAAAACAGGGCTTTCTTCTAATCACATTCTGTCTTCTTCGAATGGTAACGCAAAAGCGGCGAGGAATGACAACAGTTCGTTTTGGAAAATATATAGAGCTGGATTTCACACGTAAATATAGCATAATGGGCGCCAACAGAAATTTACCTCTTGGAAAAAATCCGTGTTGTCTTTCAGGTGAGATGTGTAGGAGAATTTTGCTGCCCCTCCTCTAGTCTATTTTTTCTCTAGTCTCTCTTTCTCTCTAGTCTTTTCTTTCTCTTTTTTCTTCTGATTCAGGGAGATTTCATGCATTATAAGCAGAATATTTGCATCAATCCAAGACCAGCATTGCAGTAAATTAATTTTTTTTATTATTACCAATTTATTCAAGTAGAGTTCACTAATCGAACATGTGTTTTTATTAACTTTTACATGAACTATTAGTCAACTGAACACCTGTCTTATATCTCACTTGTGTTTTTTTTAAGGCTCCAGAGGAGAGAAATTGACACATATTTTACCAGTTGTGTTCTGCATCATCAGGTGAAAAGCTGAAGCATCTGAAATTAGGTGAGTGTTCTGCCGGTGGGGGTCTGTTGTTAATGGTAATATTTCAGAAGCAGAAAAGTGGTGTTTGAAGACATACCAGTCAGTCATTACAGTACTTGGAAACTTTGGTCTGAATGAAAAACCAAATGAAGTGAGGATAGAAGTAGTTGGTATGTAACAAGTGAATAATGTTTGAGGTTATAAGTTTTTAGGTGATTATGAATATATTATCCCTCATTTGAATACCTGTTGGCTCCTCCAGTGACCCTTGTATTTCGCCTCCAGAAAGTATCATTCCGATTTTGTGTGAGACAATTATGACACAATGAGCGAAGGATTTTGACAACCTTACCGAGACAACAGGTCATGGTGTTCACTGTGAAAGTCATGGGACCCCTCTGTAATGATAGTTTCTGGAGTGAGTGTACATATATGTGGCATAGTGCACATCAGGTTAAACATGTGGACCTGGCACGTCCTCTGATGGTCAAGATGAAGGCGACAGCTTTTCTCCTGAAGTGAACAAACTCTTGGGTACTTAAGGTTCTGTGATACATTTACCCTTTTATCAGTCCATTAAGTGTTGAAAAAAGGTTATCATAGTTTGCAGTACTTTCCTTCCTTTCAAGTCATGTATTAACAAAAACATTTGCATTGTCGGTATCAAATTGAACTGTTGCCATCGTTGTTTGTTCTTTATTATATTTTGAATTATGTTTTAGGTTTATGATTACTGTATAAAGCTCAGATTAATTCATTCAGTGACATTCAGGAAGGTTAATGAAGATTGTTAAATTGAAGTTGATAAGTAAATCCTTCAGTACAATACAGAATTATTATTTAGCTGTGGGAAAATACTTTATTGGAATGTTATCAGTTGGATTAATTGACCAATGATTATATTTTATGTACAGTTATATAGTAATAAGTGTTGTTAGCTTTAATTGTGGTGGGAGGTGAAATATGGCTGAAAAAGACAGGTACAGTAAGTAAACATTTCTATCTGTATGGTTTTTCTTACTTATTTTTTCATATTTATTGTTTTACAGCAGACGTTGAGTTTAGTGAACCTTTAATGATATACTTATTGTATGGTTTAGTTGGTTACAAGACTTATACCCTCTCCTGTAGGCTCTCCGGAAAGTTTTCACTACATGAACCAAGGACTGCGAGAGGCTCCCAAACGGTCATCCAAGACCCGCCAGGGTGTGGTTCAGTGAGCGCTGAGTGTGTGGTGATGCTGCCAGACCATGATGCTTTGCTTAATTAGCATGTTTATTTGCTGTGTCACTCGCTAGAATCTTATTAGCGTTTGTCGATTTACTATATTTTGGCCTCCTGATATCTATTATCCGTCATATGTAATAATTATGAAAGAGCCGCTGCAAATATTGGTACTGTATTCTCTTCTTGTAATTACTGAACATCTTTATGACTTACCGTACTACATATTAGAGTATTGCTTCCTAGCTTGAGAAACCATAATGTATATTGTATGTTTATCTAAACTCCACCTCAGAAATGCAGAATCATGATTAAATGTACTGAGTGTGAGAAGAGGTGATGTTGATGAAGGCTTGTAAGAGTGTAGGAAAGTTGAGACCTGGGATTGGACAGTGAGATGTTGATGTCTTGCTTGTGACTAATCTCCTATACTGAGGCTTTACATTTGATGACTCTCTTACCCACGAGTTGGTAATTTCTTGATGGTTTGTCGTATTTGCAAGAAGGTTACAAGTGATCATACTGAGATTTTGAGAGTTGTAAGTGGTTGTAAATGAACTGAAGGTATTTTGTTTTGGATTGTATCATTATGTGAGGAAGTGACTGTGTTGCTAAAAATGATTAATAGTGATGGAGTATTAGTAAATGTTCTACAAAAGGAACATAGAAGAATAGATTAATTGAATGTAGAAATGGAAATTATATGTCAGTGTTTGGATGAAATTTAAGATAGTTGTTAGTCTGAAGTAGAGAGTTTTGTTAAGGACAGTGTTGTGGTTTGAGATCGTTGACACTCACTGGATGTCTAGAGAATGACCAGGAGTGCCTGTATCTGCAGAGGTCACTAAGTTTTGAATTCCAGTTTTAAGAGCTGTTAAGATTTTGCTTGGTCTGGCTGGGGTTGGTTGCTGTGTCCTGTTACAGATCCAGACACACAAACTTCTTGTCTTATCATCGTCAGGAAATATTTAGTAGGAGTTGATTGTACTACAACATATATTTGGGTAACATTACTGTTTAATGATGTTATTTATAATGAATTTAGATTATAGGTATACAATTGTGTGTGTGCAGTATATGCACCTCTAGAATGACCTGCTTGTACAGTGTTGGCAATATTGAATAGCTTTAGGAAGCTTTGCTTTTTAAACTTTAAAAATATTTGAGAATGGGAGATTGAGTACTTTACACCTCTTGAGAATAATCAGTCTTTCATAACTAATAAATCTAATTATATTTTGTTCAGAGTTAAATAAGAAACTATATCTTCTAATGAACACTGGACAAAGATATTCTAAGGAATTGTATTTACAGTCATAGATTAGTGATTGAATTATGCAATTGTGACTGTTTCTGATATTTTCAGTATAGTTATTTTAAGCAAGGAGAGTACAGTACAACCTTGAGAATCTCGAACTAAAACATCTGGCACCTTCAGTTATATCCAAAATATAATCATGAAAATCTTTGAAATTTAGAATTTGTGTTTGTAGCACTCACAGTGAAAAGTCTGTTGATTATGATAAAGTAGCAGTGCATACAGAAAGTCAAACAGTTTCATGAGGTCTTGAAAGTTAGTGTTGAGTTTGTTTAATCTTAAGGCTGGTTGGAAGGTTTAAACATAGGCATGAGAAGAGTGATGTTGTATGGTAGTGAAAAATGGGTGGTTAAAGGGGATGGCATACAGTCCACAGGCATGAGTGAGCTGAAATGTCAATGTTGAGATGGATGTACACTTGTACAGTGTGTTGCAGTGAGAGCAACCCTGTTCAGAGCCAAGAGGGTGTAGTTGAGTATTGAGAGTCTTGGTATTAGTAAAGTTTTACCTAGAGGTAGGCTGAGATGGTTTGGGCATGTAAGAGAATGGAGGAGACCAGTGCTTGAGGTGCTTGAGTCTAAATGCCGATGGGAGGAGAGTCAGGGTAAGCCAAGAATGACATGGGGAGATTGTAGAAATAAGATCTGAGTTAAAACCTGACAAGAAGGCTACAGAGACTGGGCAGCATGGAAAGCTAACATCAGATGCCGGTAATCACAGATAACCCGCATAAGCATGGAAATTTACCGTAAATCGTTGATGGTGGTGATGATGATGATGATGATATTTAAAACCAGCGGTGAATAAATATCTCCTAATATAGGCGCCTGTAAAGTGAGCAACTGGTTTTGCTTGGTTAGATCTGTAAGAGGTTAGCATAACATGTTTCCAGTGGAGATGCATTCATGGCAACACTGTTTCTTACCTATGAGCAGTATATGAGGGTGTCATTGAGTACAGTAATAGCACTATTAATGGTACTGTACTGTACTCATAATATATGTCTTTAATCAATTCATAAATAAAGAATAATTTATAATGATAATTGTCTTTAGAAAATAATTAAAGTTACAGTTATTCTCTAGTTTACATGTTCACAAAACACAATTCATCCTTTATGCTATTCACCAAGTAGAAAAACCTTTCACAAATTATGGTACATTTCAGTTTAACATGATAGATAGACCAACATGTTCTGGACAGTTGCTTTAGTGTCCTATCACAGCACTTACTTCTGACCTGACAGCCATTTGCCTCGCTTACCTTGTATTAATTAGCTAAACTTTGCTGGTTAATTTTTTTTTGTTTTTCATGATTTGCCAGTGGCACCCGTACAGTTGTGAGTGTAAGTGAGAATGAAGTGACTGATGTGCCTTTAAGTGATATTTACATGTAGTAACTCATAAGGTAAACAAATTATACAAGGATACTTAAATGAAATATAAAACAGTGATAATAGGTGTTTTATTATGAGCTGTGAGTTTTTAGATTTTGGGTTTTTATTATAGTAAAATATTCTCTAGAACAATGAGCATTATAACAAAAAGTGTAGATATTTAATGTTTAATCTGAAATCCAGAAAGTTTCAGTCTCGAGCATTACATATTCTTGAGGTTTTACAGTACAATATTTTGAATCTTAAGACTTTGAATTCTCAAGTGTTCCTGTTCTGCTGGTGGTGTTGTGTGTTTGGTGGAAGGCATAACTTGGTTAATGACTGGCTTACTCTGCTGGTCAGGTGGTGCCTCTGCTCTTATTCTTCGCTTATATTTTCCAACCATTGGCTTCATGATAATCTCAACTAATTGTTGTCAGTTATCAATTCATTCTGATACAAATTTATTTCCTTCTCCTTACTGTTTACTTAACTACTATCTTAATCATAAATTAAAATTCATAATAATTACTTAATATAATATGGGATATAATTAATTACAGCAGACTTTAACTAATGTTGTCTTGTGCTCTTGTCTTAGGAGAAATTGTCTTTCCTTGAGCTTTGCTTCCATTAAACTGTTTCTTCATAAAATGGTAAGTGTAACCATGCAAGTTGCACTGTTGCAGAATATCTTTTAAGTCAATAATTATTAAGCGTCTTCCTCAGGACATCAAGACAATTTTCACTACCTCAAACAAGGCGAAGCCCTCATCGAGGGTGTGGGCGGCGCTCTTGAGACTTTCAAGAGGCGTGTCGGGCGTTTTCACTTTTAGGAATGAATGAGGCAACACAAAAGCAAATGTTCACAATTCTTGCTGGAATATTACACTTGGGAAGCGTCACATTCGAGGAGGACAGCGGCGATTCTTCTACTATTGATGTATGTTGTAAGAGAGTGTGTTAGTGTTTCTCTCGGATTTGAATTCTACACCGAGCCTGTAATGTATATACTAGCCTAGGCTTAGGTTATTGAACTGTTAATAGGTCAAGACATCCAAACACTGAAAATATCTGAAACCGAGATTCAGTCAACCTTAAGGATTTTTGACAAAAGCTCCACGACCTGTAATTTAACATTTACATTATATGTACAGAGGTAAAAATTCTTATGTATGCGGAACTTTTCATTAGTCTTAGGGTTCCTTAAAAAAAACTTACTCATATCTTCATTAATACTAAGATATGTTTTATAAATCACTAGAAAAAAAGATAAGTCACTTCACATAGCAGCAGAACTACTAGGTATCCAGTTAGAAGATATACAGAAGTGGCTCTGTCACGTGAAATTGTCAGTGGGAGGGAAGTCTTCCAGAAGCCCAGCGTTCAAGAGGTTTGTATTAAATGTCTTGTTTTGGTGAATTAGTTATATCTGTGCATAAATTTAGCCAGATTTTAAGACTTTACTAATACATTACTGTTATATACAGTACTGATTTGATTATACATTTTCTAAACATTCATACGCCTTTTTCTCGTGAATGAGTTACTCTCCTGCATCACATAGTAAGAGGTTAATGTTCTGATGAATCTTGGGTATGTTCAGGCAGCGTTTTCAAGAGATGCTTTGGCTAAACACATCTCACAAAGTTGTTTGATTGGATTGTGATGCAGATCAATAAATGCTTTGCTGCTACAGAAAAACCATTCAGGTAAGATTAATCCTGTATTAAAAAAGATTTGTTTTACCCTTTTTTCTATTTTTGGAGATATAAGTGGGATTTTATTTAGTGTATATGCGTCAGAGTGGAACAAATTTAAAAGAATTTAAGTGATGTAATCCAGATGTGTCTTGGAGGTGTCACTAAAATAGCTACTGTGATGTAGTTATGGCGTGTTTAGATATGCATGTAGAGAGAAAGAAATTCCCAGATACCACTTTAAATAATACATTGAATAATTAAGTCCTATGTAGATGATGTTCGTAAGTCTTTCTGTTTTATACAGTAATTGGCTGAGCATCTATGTTGGTCCATCTGCCTGCTGGGTGTGTAATGATTGCTACTACAACATAAGGCGTACTGTTGTTAAATTTAGTATGTGTGAGGTGATGGTCCCTCCTGGGTACAGTACTTCTAAAGGGCTAAGTATATCACACACCTGCGAGTTGATCAATCGTCACAGTGGAGGATGTTTTTCGTGGAGGCGTGGATCAGGGGAGTAGTGGAGGATGGTAGCTAGTAGATGTGTGAGCACCGTCCCAAGATCTATGAGCGTGAAGGATGTAATGGGACCGAAGAGTGACTGAAGGGTTGGGATTGATAATAAAGGAGAGCCTAAAAGTAATTTAGTCTGTGTGATAAGTGTAAACTAGATTTTAAATGAACTCTTACTGGATGTAGTTAGTCATACATGAGGAGATCGGACATTAAAGTACCCCTGTATTTGAACACTTTGTATACAGTACTCTACTATAACATGTAATTGTAATGTGAAGTTTTATGTTTCAGATTTATTGGAGTTCTCGACATCTGGGTTTGAGACATTTGAGATCAATAGTTTTGAGCAATTTTGTATTAATTATGCAAATGAAAAACTTCAGCAGCAGTTCAATCAGGTGAGCTATACAGTTTATTTGAATTATTTTAACCTTGAAAATAAGGTCTTTGGTGAGATCTTCCGTTATGCCTGGATGACTGTTGAGCCCATTGTTTATATAGAGTAGAAATTATATAGTAAAGCAATAACCTCATAAAGACTGATTTTCCCTCGAAAGATATGTTACTTTTCTCATGACCACCGGGCTTTTAGGCAGTGACCCCTCGTTTAACGCCTCGGTTAACGAATTTCGGTTAACGAACTGCCTTCCATAAGGATCTTCAATTCGGTTAACGAACAAAAATTCGGTTAACGAATTTCTTTGAGGACCTACCTCAACATGTTTTCGCTTGCACTGGCGGGCAACCAGCAAGTATCAGTCGCCAATACATTAATCAGTTCTAGGGTTTAAATTCCTTACTATTTTAGTAAATATCAAAGAAGTTTATACTATTCAATAATTTTAAAGTTTAATATTCAATTTTTAGTCATTTTAACAATTATTGAACATAATTGAAGTTAAAGTGACTAGTTTAAAGCGCAGCATCCAGCCTCTTAACACAGCAAACAGGCGTTAGTCTCTCTGTTTCACTGGAGGTAACATCTTGCTTGAGACTCTCTTCAACTAAACGCTTTTTCTGTGCTTCCAAAGCAAATTATTGGTCATTTTGAAATATATTTTACATATTGACAATATATAATGCAGTACAGTGTTGATTTAAAGAAAATAATCTTGAAATACACCAAGAGAACTAAAATTTTATAGATGAAATGGTGCCATGAGGTGACTTCTCTTCACCCCAATGCCTTCTTTCTTCCTTCTCCTCCACCTCATTGTAATTCCATCATCATATAATAATCCGGGGTCTTCTACATACACACCTCAAAGTAAGTGAACTTTTCTACCATTTTTGTTGAATTTAGGAAATTGGTGAGTTGAACCAAAACCCATTGAAACAATGGTTTCGCTATCTTAATCCTTTTCGCTACAATCTAATCCACCTTCTGGAACGGATTGAGTTCGTTAACCCAGGGGTCACTGTACAGTACTTGTCTTCATTTTGAACTGCAATAAATACTACTACGTTGTAATTTAGAACTGTAAAATGATATCGCAAACTCTTTTTTATGAACCTGATTTCTTGCCTTTAGAACCAGAGATTTTTCTTTCTA